CAAACAATAAATATTACGGCGATTCGCGCACGTATAAATAATTATAATATAAAAAACTCCCGGCGATTAGCGCACATAAAATAATATAATAAAAAATGATAATAATAATACTGGCAATTCGTGCCTATAACAAATTTTTATAAAAAGAAATAAAATGTTCGCAAACGCGCAACGGACAATTCACGAACGACGTGCAGAGAGCGACAAAAGTTGCGGCGGCCGTATTAAAATACGCACACCGACAAGCCGGCGATGCAGATAACGCGCCGATAACGGGTAACGCGTTGGGACTTAATTAATTTAAATAATTCACACACAATTAATAACAAAAATAAATAAATCACAATATAGATAATTGTGCGTGTGTGTCGATAGGCTGTGATATTATTCGGGTCGTCGACCGGCCGCTATTTTACGGCGGTAACATTATCCCCCCCTTGAAAGCCTTGGGTTTCAATTTATACGTTGTCCTTATCCGTCAGTAGCCTACATAGTTTGATGACTGGACGGCGTATCTGCGTCCCGTTCGCTATTTTTAGTGTTGCAACCCGTAATATCCCATCAGAACCAGGATGTAATTCTACGACTACACCTAGCTTCCACCTAGCTGGAGGCATACATTCGTCTTTTATGATTACAACATCGCCTTTTACTAGTTGCAGGATCTTGCACTTCCACTTGTCACGAATTTGAGTTTGTGGTAGATACTCCTTTGACCATCTCTTCCAGAACGTTTGCATTAGATTTTGCACTAGATGCCATCTTCGTAGACCCTTAGGCTCTTCCTTAGATATGTCTGGTTCATTTGGTAACAACATTGCCCCTCCAATTAGGAAGTGAGATGGGGTTAAAACAGCCAAATCAGAAGGATCACTACTTAGCGGAGTCATCGGTCTTGAATTAAGACAAGCTTCGATTTGGCACAACAGTGTACGCATTTCTGTGTCTGTTAACTTATGATCCGATATAACTCTCTTCAGGTGATGCTTCATACTCTTCACGGCACTCTCCCATATGCCACCAAAATGTGGCGCGGCTGGTGGATTAAAATGCCATTCAATACCTTCTTTCGTTAAGTCAACACTGGCCTTCTTCATCATTGAGACTAACTCCCTTTGAGCGCCGACAAAATTTGTTCCATTATCGCTATAAATCTTAGCACATTTTCCTCTTCTAGACATAAAACAACGCAATGTCGCTATAAAGGACTTACTTGAAAGATCGTCAACCAACTCCAAATGTATGGCCTTCGTGGAAAAGCAAACAAATACTGCAATCCAAGCCTTCTTAGCAGTTACTCGTCTCAATCCACTACGAATATATATTGGTCCTGCAAAATCTACACCTGTAACGGTGAAAGGTCTGCTACACTGCACTCGATCTTTTGGAAGTGGCGCCATCATTGGGTGATTAAAACGTGGCTTTGCTTTCGTACATTGAACACAACGCCACACCACTGACCTTGCAGTTACTCGACCTAGCAGTGGCCAGTATAAACGCCTTACTTCAGACAACAAAAGCTGAGGTCCTCCATGGAGAAGCTCCAGATGGTATTTTTCAAATATCATACGGGTTACTTTATGAGCAGCAGGCAATACCACAGGGTGCTTATGTTTATCCGCCATGTTTGAGTTGTCGAGTCTTCCACCCACAAATATTAAACCGTCGCGTAGGAAGGGAATCAAACTCCGCAGCTTGCTATTCCTTGATACTTCATGTCCCTTTTCTAGCGATAAGATCTCTTTGCTAAAGCACTCAGTCTGAACCATTCTTAGCACCGTTTTTCTCGCTTCGTTCAAGTCCAATATCCTTAAAGATTGAGGTTCATTGATCATCTTACGCAGATACTTCGAATAGATTGTTAGCCAAGCTACTCCTCGTAACATGTGGTTCCATTCTGAATAGTGTTCTAATATACTATTTGCTGAATTGTTTGCTACAAGTACTAACTTCACTTTACGTACTTCGGGTAGCTCTTCATTCTCGTTGACGATTGTATTTATTATCCAATCCTTCTCATTCTTTTCTAACCAGGGGGGTCCCTTCCACCACAGTCTTGCGTCTAAAAGCTCCCGTGGTCCCAAACCTCTTGAAGTGATATCCGCTGGGTTTTCATGTGTTCCTATATGGTTCCACTGGTTGACCTCTGTTACATCCATGATTTGAGCTATTCGATTTGCAACATATGTTTTTAGCCGGCTGCTCTGGCTATTCAACCACCCTAGAACTATAGTTGAGTCCGTCCATAACTTGAATTGATGAATGTTGATTTGCCATGACTCAGCAACTCGTTGAGCCAGTTCAGCTAATAATAAGGCACCGTTTAACTCAAGACGCGGGATTGTACTTCCTTTTAATGGGGCCACTCGAGTTTTGGAGCATAGAAGTCTGGAATACCATTTTCCGTTGGTGCTTTGAGTACGAATGTAGATACAGGCTCCATATGCTTCCTCTGAGGCATCACAAAATCCATGTACATCGATGATATCGGTACGCTCAGGTATAACCTTTCTAGGAATGGACAATTCCTTGAGTTGCTCGAGTGTATCAAAAAAATGAATCCATCTTTGCTGAATGTCTGCTGGAAGCTGAGCATCCCAGCCTATCTTCATTGACCACAGCTGTTGTAGGAATATTTTTCCTTTCACTAAAACTGGTGACAGAAACCCAAGTGGATCGAAAATTTTGTTCAGGTCAGAGAGTATAGCTCTTTTCGTTACCGCGCCTTGTGTGGATCTCGTTACGATGTCATATTGAAAATGGTCTGCGACTGGTTTCCACTGCAACCCTAATGACTTGACCGTGTCATCGTCTCCTATATCTAATACAAACAAAGGATCGTCAATAGACTTGGATAAAAATTTTCGCATAACAATCTCGGAGTTGGAACACCATTTCCTTAACGGTAGCTTTGCTGATATTAACACTGAACTAACATCTATTTGTAACTGACAGCAGTCATCCTCTGTATCGGCCCCCGTCATCAGATCGTCCATATAAAAATCTTCGGCAATCACCTTTGAAGCTTTCGGGTATTCCTTCTCAACACTTTTTGCGAGTGCTATAAGACAATAGGTTGATAGAAATGAGGCAGGAGTTGTTCCATACGTGACTGTAGTTAACTGGTATGAACGTAGTAACTCTTCAGGGCTGGATCTCCAAACAATTCTTTGTAGGTCCCAATCTTCCTTTGCAACCTTTATTTGACGAAATATTTTTTCTATATCCGAAGTTAAGACAAATTGATGCTTGCGGAAGCGCACGAGAATTGAAAATAAATCTTGCTGAACAACTGGACCACACTTCAAGGCATCATTAAGAGATACGCCTGATGTACTTTTGGCAGAGGCATCGAAAACTACTCGGACCTTTGTAGTTAAACTTGATGCCTTTTTTACCGAATGGTGTGGTAGATAAAAGGGATTCTGCGTCTGAGTCGAATCATCCATTACTTGAATTATATGTCCCATTTCAATATATTCATTCATAAATCGTATGTACTCAGCCTTCAAATGCTTATCATGTTGTAATCTTTTCTCAACATTCAGGAAGCGTGCGGTCGCCATGGGTAATGTTGCGCCTATTTCGCTGATCACCTTCTTAGTGGGAAGCCGTACGATAAAGCGTCCCTCCTCATCACGCATTGTGTGTTGCTTAAAATGTTGGACTGTCTCTTGCTCTTCTTGACATCTCTTATTCGCCTTTGATGCTCGGCCATAGTTTGTATTTTCAATGCTGCTGAGAGCCTTCCAATCATCTTCTATCGTTTGACCCATTGAGAAAGGTGTTCGTGAATGCTGGTTGGAAAGTTCTCCCGTTACGAGCCATCCGAAACAACTTTCATGTAGGGTTACTGAACCTATATTTAATGGTATTTTCTTTGTTCCCAAAACATCAAAGAACGAACCACCTCCAATAAGTAAATCGATAGCTTGAGAGCGATGGAAATCCGGATCAGCTAGAAATGGAGACACAGCATCTGGTATACCCCATCCACCTGCAGGCTCTGAACAAGGCGCTAAATCTCCGACAATGTTAGGCAATACGTAGCAAGTAATCTTAATGTTAAATTCATTCGTTCTTGATTCGACTTTCAACTCACTGCATGACCTTGCTCTTAACCGATTGTCCCCAATACCACTTATTGGTAATAAAGACTTCTTACATGTTAACTGTAGTAAATTTGCATATCTTTTTGACACAAAGTTTATTCGGGCACCGCTATCCAAGATAGCTCTGCACTGGCGACGTCCACCGTTTTTATCTTGAACCATAACCAAGGCTGTCGCAAGAAACACGTGAGAATTTCCCGTCGTGATTTCTGCTGGTATAGGTGCAGACACTAGGATTCCGGAGGTAGACGATGTTTGACCTGTATCTGGCAGTTGTCCTTTGAGCTGTTCCTTCTCTTCAGTTTTCTCCTTTTTTTCAAAATGTAATAATGAATGATGGTTACGGTTGCACGTTCGACACCTGTAAGTGGATCTACAAGTATTTGCCATATGCCCTGAAGATAAACAATTGAAACATATCTGTGATGCTCTCGCCATCTGAAGACGTTCGGATACTGAAAGACCCTTGAATTGCTCACACATGAACAGCCTATGAGCTTCCGAACAACAAGGACATGGGTGAATAGACTTGTTATTCGCAGAAATAAGCACCCTTCTTGATGCGCCATTTGATGTAATCCTTTTTGAGCTTGACCCTTTTATTTGACTCTCACAACTTCTTTCAAATGATGACGTGCAAGACTCTGATGTCTCTATGGCAGCACAACGACTTGCTATAAATATTTCCAAATCGGAGTATTTCGGGAGCCTCGCGTTTCGTTGGTGTAATTGCCAACTATGCGCTGTATTCTTATCTAGTCGACGAGTGACAATAGTAATGAGCCAGGCATCCCACTGTTCAACAGGTTGACCCATTGATTTTAATGCTGCAACATGAGTAGAAACTGTGGAATATAACACTTGCAGAGTACTAGGGTTTGATTCTTCTACTCGGGGGCAGTCGAGAATGGAGTGGATATGTGATTGAACTACAAGACTGTGGTTATCATATCGTTGAATCAGCTGTCCTATGACCGCGTCATAATTTCCATCGCTAACTGGAATAGAGCGGATGAGCTCTAAAGCTGGACCTTCCAAACTTGATCGCAAATAGAAGAACTTTTGTGCTGCAGTATAGCTATCGTCATTGTGTACCATCGCTCGAAATACATCAAAAAATGAAGCCCATTCTTGGATGTTACCATTGAACCTGGGAAGCGGTATAGGTTGTAACTGGGCCCTATGGATATTCATAGCAGGGAATGATGCATTGACAGCTGTCGAGTTATGCGGCTTTTCCAAGCTGATTAGTTCTTGAATTTGAGATCTAATTGCGAAGTACTCATTTTCAAACGTTTCCCTTTCTAACTCAGACTCTTCTTCCTCGTCAACGAGCAATTCTATCTCCGACTGTATATCTTCGAATTTTCGATTAATTTGCGGTAGCTCTTCTTGCCTAAATTCTAGCAGTGACACGGTTTGTAGTGATGGGTCGAATTTATTTACAAATGTACGAACACGTGTGAGAGCACCCTTTACTACACCCCTTTTTCTCTTTAAATCTGCAAGCGTCTTTTGCTCATTAGAGTCTAGCACCATATTGTTTGATAATAGCAATACAAAATAAAAATATTAATAATAATAATCAACTCAAGAAGGATAAATTGGATCAAAAATAATTTAGTGCTTATGCCTAATAATAGATGTACTAATAAACCTTTAGATTTTAAAAATAAGAGAGTAGAACAAAATACTAATAAATAATCAAAATAATAACCAACGATTTTAATATAAATACACGAATCAGCTCAATGAGTAAGAATTAAAATAATTCACAAACAAATAACCAAGACTTAATTAAATTACACACTTGAATACCACAACAAAACAATCGGAGGTATATAAAAATTTACGGATAATTAAATTAAAATTCACAATAATATAAATTTAATTTAAAAATCGATCACGTCGAAGTCACCAAAATGTTTGGGCCGGTAGCGTATAGCGATAATACGCACACACCGGACACCACTACTCCGTACGCACTACCTAAACCGACTTCGTCGGTCACACCTTATATACATGTGTATTTTTGTCAATAGATCGGATAGGAATGGTTGGGTTCGCCGCGCAAATACTATCCGACTATGTGGTGCTATGAGTGTGTATGTGTGTATGTATGTTGTGTGTACTTAAAATTATGGAAGGAATAAAAAATGGTAACTAAAATAATGTAAAAAATATGGTAACTATGTTGCTGTATTTATAAAATAAATTATAGGAATCGGCCCTTCTGGCCCAGCAACAAATTATAAAATTTAAAATAAATATTGTAATTACAAAAAATAATTCACAGCAACACGTAAATTGTATAAATAATAATAATATATACTCTGGCTATTTGAGCCTAACTAAAATGCCGATTCGGCACAACCAATATAATAAATAATAATAATAATAATGGCGACAAAAGTTGCGGCGGCCGTGTTAAAATACGCACACCGACAAGCCGGCGATGCAGATAACGCGCCGATAACGGGTAACGCGTTGGAACTTAATTAATTTAAATAATTCACACACAATTAATAACAAAAATAAATAAATCACAATATAGATAATTGTGCGTGTGTGTCGATAGGCTGTGATATTATTCGGGTCGTCGACCGGCCGCTATTTTACGGCAGCAATAATATTATAAAATCAATGGCCAGACTCCTACCCCTTAAAAATTTCGAGTATCTTGAGTAGTTTATAAAGCTAAAATAGACTATCGGCGGAAGGCGATTATTGTATAGATAAATGTACTTATGCATGGCCGTCGTTTGACGTTTATTAAATATTTTGCAATGAACAATTCTACAAAATGTTTAAATTTTACCAAAATATGGTAGGTACACTAAAAATTTGTTTAAACCGGAACGATAAACGTTATTTTTTTTTTTTTTACGAACCGGAACGGTAAAAAAATTTTTTTTCCTAAACCGGAACTGTGTTCTGGTCCATTTCGAGCCCTATTTGTTTTTGCAAAGACTATTTAGTTAATGTAATTAGAAAAATGAATTCCAAATATAAAATGAAAACTAAAATTCCTTTATCGAAAAGAAAAAAGTACAAAGATTTCATAAAGCGAATAAAAGACCACCATGAACCAAAATAATAGAAATAATAATAGAAATTACATTGCACTGCAAACTATTTGCAGCTATTTTTTTTTTTTTTATTATTAATTACTATTGTACATCAAAACGTGGGGGTACCTAATTTTCAATAACTACAATTCTTCAAATATGGTATACTGCGATAACGATTACAATGAACGACTACCTGGATCAGTAGCGTACTAACGGTGGGGGGGTTTTGGAGATAAAACCCCCACCCGAAATTTTTAGGATGAATTAACTTTTTATGAGAAAACTAAAATATCTGGTACCTGTAATATCATATTGTACTTAGGTATTACAAATTCTTCATCATAATAAAATAAACAGCATACATTTTAAAATACCTTTGTACTATACTACTATACTATACCTTTATACCAGTGGTTTTCAACCTTTTTAACAATGCGGCACACTTCATCTCCAACAAACTTTTCGCGGCACACCAATCCATAAATATGTATACTATTTACAGTCTACTCTATTAGAGGATTATTTATTGTGAAATATATTAATACAATAATCGATCGATCGTGACGGCTGCGACGGGCATACTTAGGGCGCCTTCACACGTAGCCACTCGGCAGTGCTGCTATTGGAAAAATATTAGTTTATATAGATGGTTTCACACACGTCCACGGCCACTAATTTGAAGCGCCACAGACGATGTCAGTGGCTTGCTTCGCCGCAGAACGTGGCGTCTAAAAGTCGCGCTTCTCGAGACAGAACGTGTTTTTAGATTGGGCGTTTCACACGCAACCACAATCGCGCGTCTATTTTTGTAGCTGGTCAGCAGCGCGTCGGCAGCGTCGGCATACCCTTATTGATCATTCCGAGTGCTGTCAATAGCTTATAATATGCATATATTACTAATAAATAATAATACGCATATTCCTGAGTCATATAAGGAAAAACGTACAGAGAATAACTATTAAACTGTAATGAGTGCCACGTGCGAATAACAAATCACAAACAACCGCAAACAACATCATCATTCGAATAGGACGATCAAGACCAAGGACAACCAAGCGTCGAAAACAACACAATTAAAACAGAATCAAACAGAGTATATAAAGGCTCCGTTTCACCACCAACGGGAGACGTGTCTAGCTATCAGTACAAGCCCTTCTGAGTTTTGTCTTTGATATTGTTAGTGCACAAATTAATAATTTGTATCTGTAAATCATTTATTTGTATTTATTAAAGTGTTTAAAAGTGTTTCAATTAATTATTAAATCAATTTATCCTACTCCAATAACATCATTACGATAGGTACCTGTTTTTATTGGGTACCACGTAACAAGCTCTTATTTTTTATTTTTGATACCAGATAAAAGTTCTTTGAATGTATTTTTTGACATACGAAAATATGGAAAAAATTTTTCATCATCTCCTTCTATGTCATCAAATAGTGTGTTAAATAATTCTCTGTTCGGTCTTTCCAGAAGCAGTGGATGTACCTAGAATCTTCTTGGTGTATTTTTACATTTTTTTTTTTTAATTAATAACATAATAATTCAGTTTCCACGTCCATTTTGAGACTGATGTGGTATGTTTTTGTCTTCACAAACTGTCTACCGATACACATTCGTAGTACCACTAATTACGCTTCTAAAAATATGAGCAGCACCACTGACGGGCTCCTAAAAACACGAGCAGCGCCATTGACGTGCTGCTAAGAAGCGCTGCCAAGTGGCTACGTGTGAAGGCACCCTAACAGGTAGGGAAGCCGCAACGGGTCGCAGTACAAATCAGCCACTTTTCATGTCGCGGACTATAATAATTCGTCTAGAGAACTAATAACTTTAAAAAATAAAAAATATGCAAGCACTTATGCATTTAAAAACCCTATAATGCTCTTAAAATACGCACTTGAAATTTTTTTTCAGCGATTTAATGTCAAAGTATTAATACAATTAATATTATTTAAAATAAATTAAAACAATTACCTAATATAAATATATATTATGTCATTGCCAAGTAAATAAAATACATTTTTTTTCCTTAATTTTCTTAATTGAATATGTATTCAGCTCACAGGGGCGATGGTCCGATATCAGAAACGATTATCCATCTATTAATAAAATTTATTACAGCAAATAAATATTACTGTCTTATTGGCGGTCCGCAAACACTTTTAGGAAAATCGTGTGCTTCGAACAGTTATAAACCATATTATGCGAGAAAAATTAAAAATAAATACATTTTTATACAAATCTTTTTAGTCTATTGTTTGAAATAAAAACGATGGTGTGAAAAAAATTGATTTAAGTTAAATATGTTTCAAAAAGTATAAAATGGCGTATAAAAGTATTAAATATGCCTTAAAAACAAAAAAAAATACTCAAAATATGCATTTATATGCAACATAAAATTTCAACATTAGTTTTGTTAAAGCATGAAATGTATTTGTTTCGTACTTGGCTATTTTTGTGATAGTACAAAACAAATATGCAAATGCTACAAGTCCCTTGCCCTACTAATCATTTTATAATAAAGAATTTTATCATTATTATAATTATATATGTTTATTAAATAATTTATACATTTTAATATATTAAATATACCTAAAAGTCTTGTTTAGATAGGGCTCAAATGTATTGTAGACTCGGTGTCTAAGATACCCCCTGAAATACAGATCTGCGCACGCCTATCCATAGGTATATAATTATATTTTGATAAGTAACTAAGATATTTTTCTTGTCATTAGTTAATGAACAACGACCTATCTAAAATATCTTGCAACTCAATGTTGGATCACCGACCCATAGGTTGGGAAACGCTATGCTATAGAGTGCCACACATTTTACGTCGGTTTCTAGAAGTTTTCTAGTTGAAACATAAAGCCAACATTGGTGATTCCTTTGAATATAAGGATGAATCCAAAATTTCCTTCTTTTATTCCTTTCTTTCTTTTCTCTTTTAAACAGTTTTTCGTACAAGTAGTGCGAAACAATATCTTCCTGGTCACTAGACTTATTTGACATATTTTAATAATAAGCTACCGAAAAACTACGCAAATAATAGAAAACGACTGATAATAATCGAATGATACATAAAAATTATAATAATAATCACACGACAGATGCTTTGTGTGTGTACCGATAATCGCACACATCACATAAATCGCCTGGTGCGCAGAGTTAGTTATACGTTTATAAATGAAATTGCACATTGAGGCCCTCATAAACAACGGTTTTATTTCTGTCCAGTCATGATATTAAACGTGACGGGTTTGTCGGTTATCGTTAGAAATCGTAGTATGTGGTATTTCTGATAAAAAAAAGCCGACGTGTTTATTTAATGGATAGGTACGCATGTCAGCACCTCTGCAGCATAATCTAAAGATTCCCATGCACTATGATACAACATGACCAGTTTCACCACGCTGGTCACAACTGAAGTGTAAGTGCTGTTTCACATGAGACACTTTGTGGCCAGCGACTAGAGTCTGAAAAGAATCTGGCGGTTAAAAGTATATTGATATTTATAGAAGCGTTCACATGAGACACAGATAAGGAATCAGTGTCCCGCAGTCGTTTCGAAGTGTCTCTTCCCCTCTAGTAGCCGGACACTATGTTTGTGTCTGAGCCACCGATAATCTACACATTGTTATGAATATATTCAGACAAGACACACGAGGCCACCAATTCATACCGATTTTATAAAATAATTAGTAAATAATTTATTTAGGCAGTAATTATTTTATTATATATTTTGAAATTGATTAATAACTATGATCCTTGATACAGTTATACAGTTTATGCAGTTCAAAAAAAGACTTGGAGGACATGCGAAAATAATTGAAAAATTTTTGCTCACTTTTAAGTAAATCAGTAGACAAACATATAAAATATCCTTTTTCATTTCTAAATTGAATAATAGGATGTACCCAATAAATCCTTTCAGTTCTTTTATCCGGTTTATTTTGTTTTTTAATAAGAGAATACAACAGTATTGCCTCCTCTACCCTCATGATTACGACTTGTTGTGATACGATTTGTGTACGATGTGTACGATTTTCACGTGCAATACATAATTATTAATAAGACACTAGTGTATGGCAAGTGTCTCGTGTGAATCAATGAGACACTTTTATAAACAGTAGCGCGATTCTTGTGGCCAGCCACAAAATGTCTCGTGTGAAACAGCTCTAAAGGCAAAACAATTTGACGATGAAAACTGACGTGTTTTACAGACTGCTGGGTCGCTATCACAGCTCCGTTAGTCGTATTACCATGGCGGATAGGGCCAACGGAAAATGTGGATTTTCCCGGTAGTATAATTTAAATCAGGTAAAAGAACATTTACTGTGTAAGTAAATAAGTCTACTCTGCGGATCGTTTGATTAACACGTATTTTACATAAAGTTTTAAGCGTTAGTATAACTTTATTTTTTAAGTTATGGTATATTGGTTTTAAGTTTAAAAGAACAAAACAGCACTAAAATTCACCTATTCCTGTATCTCATCAGTTTCGCACATTTTAAAGTACAAGAATAAAGAAAAAAGTAAAACTGTATTAGGTACCTATAACATTTTAATAATCTCAATTATCTATTTTCTGCATTTCCATTGGTAATAAATTCAAGTACTATTTAATAACTTAACAATATACATATTATTTTATGCTCAGATGTATTTTAATAGTACGTTGAGATATTTTTAACCGTATCTGTATGATGAAATAAATTATTATTTGAAGTTAATAATATATAAAGAAAAATCTAAAAAAATAAATTAGTAGTTTTATTATAAAACTTTATACTTTCACAAAATTTGGCAAATCTATTGCTATCAATTTTTAGTACCTACCTTGTAGGTGATCATTTTTTTTTAATTTATACTGAACTATTTTTCTAATTGTAATAAAATATAAATTACTTCAAATTTATTTATTTCAAACAAGTCACATGAACAAATATAAATTAACATTGCATTGTTTTGGGTTCATTTTATTGTAGATATTGGAAGTGAATATTAAAGTTTACCTACCTTTCAATAGCAAATAATAATGAATAAATGAACCATACACTACTGTAATATAATTAATCAGTCGCGATAAGTCAACCGTCGAATAAGGTCGTTAATTTACTTGTCGCTCCGTTATCTTAGTTCTGCTTTCGTATATTCTTAAACTTTATGTCGGCGTCGTCTTCGAGCGGCGGTGGCAACCCGCCACATGGCCAAAACCAGTCAACAGGAAAAACCAAAAAACTCAATGCCAGACTACATAATACCGATCAAGATTGGTCCATAGCGACCAACAAGAAAGCATCTCAACGTAATAAGGTACCAACACCAAATAGTCCTATATCCCCCACGTTACAGCAAATCTATAACAATCAACCTGTTCTAAATATGCCCAGCCAAACATTTAAATACGATAACACCTTATCTAATTCTATTAATGAGTCGTCCGGCGAGCATATGAATATAGATTCCTCTACAACCGATCACGCAACTGCTTCCGTTACTGATAACACTACAAATACCGCCATTATCTCACGCACAAATATAACCGATAATCATGCAATTATTATCGACTCTACTTCGATCGCAGACAAGTCGTCTACATATTCTATCGATAATCAACCTACGTTTTCAAATGATAATATCAAATCACCGTTACGTCTTTTTTCACATGACTACGCTGGTCCTGTTATTATTCTAGTCGAATGTGTTGACCCAAGTAAAAATCTTGGTAATTGGCATCCTCTCAAGGCTGCAAAATTTTTCTCCTCTAACTTCAAAGGCATTACCAACATTAAGCCCGCCAGCTTAAATAAAATCAAAATAACGTTCAACTCCGTAGTTAATGGCAACATTTGTTTAAATTCTAACATTTTGAGCAATAACGGTTTTACGGCTATTATTCCTTCTACGCTCATATATTCATTCGGAATTATCAAATTAGATAATACATTCTCTGAAGATGACTTCCGTGATGGTCTTCAGTCTTCTGTACCAGTAGAAGCGTTTAAACGCATATCAATAAAAAAAGACGGTACCATAATTCAAACACGTATTGTCGAACTCAAATTTTTAGCTCCGAAAATTCCAAGCCACATCTCAATATATAATATGCTCTACGACGTCCAACCCAGTATAAGGTCTCCAGTTCAGTGCAATCGTTGCCTCCGTTTTGGCCACTCTCAAAAATTCTGCCGCAGCAAACCGAGATGTAGTTGTTGCGGCAGCGATGACCACTCCTTCGATGCTTGCCCGTCAGCCCATACTACGAACCCGAATTGTATTTTTTGTAATCTTCCTCATCTCACCACCGACCATAGTTGCCGTGAATGGTTATTTCAAAAGGAAATTAAGAAAATCATGGCAACCGAAAATTTATCATATCGCGAAGCTCTAGATTTTAAGAAAAACAAATTTCACACCTCCGCTTTTAAATATTTGGATATTGTAAATAGTCAGTCTATTTCAGCCGTAAATACATCTGTCCCGTCTTCCTTTACTAATGATGACTTTCCTAATCTAAATTCTAGTCATCATATTTTTAACTCTAAAAAGAAAAAAATCAAATCACACCCCTCCTCCCACCAAAAACATTTTTCTCTTCCTCACGAATCTCTATCACCTCTACCTGGTAGCTACCTTAATACCTATGATCAAAATTCGCAACCACTTGAACAAAGTCCTAACGATTTTTCTTGGGTCCATCCACTTTCTCTTAAATTATCCGAATCCCTGATTAACTCCCCTAGTTTACTAACTCCCTTCACCTCCACAACTCTTCAGAACTTAATTGAATCATCGATACATTCTCTACTCTCTCTTCCTAAATTTAACATCACTCAATAATAATTATCTCCTACATAATATTTTTCCCGCTTCTCAGTTTTACATTTTTTTTTTTTCTTTAGTAATGTCTTCTTTAAGAAGTTATAACTCTTCTTCTTCTCTAAACATTTTACAGTGGAACGTCAGAAGTCTCCCTGCTTGAATTACTTCTTTACAGAACTTACTTGTTCATTATAAATGCTCCATTGCTATACTCTCTGAAACATGGTTACTTCTTTCTCGTGCCTTTAATATCCCTCAATTTAATTTTTTTAGATGTGATCGCCCCGACGGTTATGCAGGCTCTGCTATTGCGGTTCACAGTTCCATAAAATCTAGGTTGATTACTCTGGATCCGGTTACAAAAAATTGTTTTACTGAAAAAAAAAGAGAACATTGTTGGCGTTGAATTACTAAAGTCCAATTTTTCTCCATCTCTCTCCATATGGTCCTGCTATATTCCCGGCGATACTCATATTTCTGTGGACCTATGGCAATTATTATTCAATTTGATTTCTCCGTCTTCTTTATTATGCGGTGACTTTAACTCCTTCCATCCTTCGTGGGGCTCATCCTATTCTTCCTCCCGAGGTACTCATATCTACGATATTGTCAACTCCCTTGGTCTATGTATTTTAAATAACGGTAACTGTACTTGTATCGGGCGCCCGGGCTCTAATGACTCAGCCATCGACCTATCCTTCTCGTCACCTGATCTGGTTTGGAATACAACGTGGTCCACTATGGATAACCCTAATGGCAGTGATAACATCCCTATCCTTATCACCATTAACTACTCTCGTAACATTCATCCCCCCATTCTCAACCAGTCTGCAAATTCATCTTTCTCTAAATCTTTCTCTTTTAATCTTAATAAAGCCGACTGGATTGCATTTTCTCAATTTGTTCAAAATAGTATCTCTTATATACAAGATACAACATCCCCAACTATTTGTTATTCTACCTTTATCGATATCATAAACCAAGCCTCGATCAGCTCAATTCCAGTAAAAAAAACCTATTCCAATACATTTCCTCCTTCCTCTCCTTGGTGGAATTCTTCTTGTACCAAGGCTGTCAAAAATAGATCATCTCTTTTTAAACTATTTCGCCGTTCAGGTTCTATGGCTGATTTTATTGCCTATAGTGAATCGTGTGCGACAACAGCACAGACTTTAAAGAAAGAAAAACGCAGAGCATGGAAAAACTTTTGTACCAACTTAAATCCATCTGCTACTATCCACTAACTCTGGCACACCGCCAGACTCTTTAAAAAATGTGTTGTTCCTTCTCCTCGTCCTATCAATGATGATGTCCAGTATTCAGTCGTTAATTAGCTATCCTCTCAATTCTCGTCTCTCTCCACTTATCCTCCGCATATAAAGTATTCTTTTCTCTCTTAATCAAAATAACTTTAATATAAAATTTCTCTGGGTCACTCGGGCATCCTTGGAAATGAAATTGCAGACAATCTGGCTAGGTCCACATCTACTATCTCTTTGCCTTCCCCTTGTAAAATCCCTTCCACCGACTTCCTTCCAATTCTGCGTCAACATATTAACTATCTCTGGTCCTCCTATTGGAATAATCTACCGGCTAATTTTGCCTCTAAATACAAAAGTGTTGTTCCCAGTATACTAAAAAAACTTGGTTCGATAATCTAAAATTATCGAGAACGTCGATTATAAAATTTAATCGCCTACGAGTTGGTCATCATTTACTCCCTTCCCATTCCTATAAACTTTCTCTAAACGATTCTCCTTATTGCACTAAACATCCTAAGGAAATAATTTGTGATCTTTCCCACATTATCATCAGTTGTCCTTCATTATCCCATAATCGTTTAATTTTATTTAACTTTTTAAAATCTCAAAACATCCAATTAACTCTTCCATCTATCCTTAATTCCCATTCCGAAACCATAATTAATCGTATTCTATCCTTCATCCTCGAGACTGGTCTATCCGTTTAAATAAATAAATTATTGTAAATACCTAATTGTACTTATATCTGTAAATGTCGAAATAAATTGTACATATACAAAGTTTCTTAATAAAAAAAAAAAAATATATTTAATACAGAAATATAACATAATACTTATAAAAAGTTTTCAAATAATATTTAAAATTAATGACAAAACAGTACATTTTTTTTTCAATCTCATCTTTAATATTAAATATTCAAACTTATCGCAAGTATTAAGATTACAAATCATTTCATTATTATTGCACTACAATAACAGAAATTCTTACTAAGATATAATTGAACTAACATTACACATTTTATGCTTTAGAGTTTTTCAATAATTCAATAATTCTGAAATAGAATAGCTAATTTATAATCAATATGACAAACAGCAAAAAATAAAAAAGATATATTATATAAATATAATTTATATAATTCATAATTTTATATAATAATCATTAAACTTAAAAATGTAACTGGAAAAATATACAATTAAAAAATGTGAATAACATAAAATTAAAAAGGATCCTGAAAATATGTACAAAATTTTTAAAAAGATAGTTCATCATTTAAAATTTTAATAATTAACTTGTGCTATATATATTATAATATATATAATACATTTATTATTTTCAAGAAAACAAATTAGTGAAAAGTACCTTCTTATACACTGGAATGAAAAAAAAATTAATCATTGAGTTAAAAAGAACTAGTCTCACATTAAAAACTAACGCTTTTTTTTTCTTTGAAAATTAAAGAAAACTAATTATTATTTTAATTAATAAAGCTTTGCTCAACACAAAACTTTACTCTTTTTTCATATTCTCTGCGATTTTCCTTATATAACTGAGCAGCCATAGAATTAGCTGGTGAATTAGGATTGGGGTCACTGAGTAGAGATTGAATGGATGTCAAAATAGCAGCTACATCATATATAGGACTCCAACGATTCTGTAATATATCAAGGCAAATGCCTCCATCTGCGTAGACATTTGGATGAAACATTTTAGAAATAAATCTAACCGTAGGTGGCTTGTTCGGATATTCTTCAGTAAATTCTATGATCAATTTGAATGCGCCGTCCTCAAACGGAGTATCATGCGGTCCAAATATCACTGCTTTCCATATCATAATGTTATTATTAGTTGGTACACCACTGATACCAGCAGGTGGATCTTCTTGTAATTTTTTAAAGTCTCGCATAATCCTACGCCTGGCTGGAGTTGTCATGATGAATGATTACTTTTAAATTAAAATAAAGTCTGAAAATAAAATAAGAAACAAGTAATTACAATCAAGTCAATTTTTTTAAAAATAATTACACATCAATATTTAAATATCATATATATTTTATTCTTATAATATATACATTCTTAAAAAAACATTGTTATTATTTCAAAATAAATAATATATTAGTTCTTTAATTATATTATTTATCATTGAAATAATAAATTAATATACCTAAAAATATTTGTATCCTAATTTAGAGAATAATTACATAACAATACGAATTTTCATAATTTTCCAAAAATTAAAAGTTCCAAAACTATAACTATATTAAATTGACATTTCAATTAGAACACAGTGATGTGAAAATTATTATTTTTATTATTTTAATCATTAAATTTTTATTAAAAAATAATTAGTTAAATTAATATCTATCATATAATTAAGTTTTTTACAACTTAAATTTGAGGATGAATTATATAAATTTAGATATTTATTTTATTTTTACTGTTAATCTTTTTAATTATTTATGAAATATAAGGAACACGCTAATTTGTATTTTACAATTATTTTTACATTTAAAGTAGCACAGTTGTGATAAAGAAATAAATATTCTTATATAATTACTTAATTATAACTTAACATATTTTATATTTATTATACATCAAATATAATTTCAATATACATAATATATTAACTATGCTCTTACTTAATTATGATAAAATGTCAATAGATGTTTATTAGAAAATAAACCAAAATGATAACAGATGATTTTTAATTGAAAATACTGTATATAGTTTATAATTATTATGCATTTATATTTTAGTATTTAATTTTTTTTTACTTCACATGTAAATTTTCTTTTTACAATAGTGAAAGTGAAGGTTTGTTGATCCATAGACAGTTAGGTATTGAAATTGAGTAAAGGATAAATTCATTGATGCAACATCATATCTTATTCTTTCCCAACTATTTGGGGTCGACTACCCTTGTCCTAAACTTTTACTCGTCTCGATTTTCTATATCCCCTATACACACACCAACGGCCCCCATATACTTCTCAAATTGGTGTAATCTTATGAACATTTATTTAATAGAATAATATGTCAATATGTACATGTCTAACGCTATCCTAACTGAATCCGTGCGTTGCGGCTATAAGTTCACCCGCAACGCAACAAACGTAATGCAACGTATTGTTGGCAAAATTGACGTCAATGAATTCATACGTAAAAAAGGTTATGAACTTATATAATAACAATACAGTCGAAAATTTGCCGTCAACAAAAGAACAATGTAAAATGTTACTATCCAAACGTTTGGCTATGAAACTTTTTTTTTTTTTTTAATAATGTGTGAATACAATTAATCTTTAAAAGGGTTTTTACTTTTTACTTTTTGTAGGTAGCTTTTTAAGTAAAAATATTATAAGTCGAAAAGTTTCTTAAAATGTTTAAATTAGTGGAATTTAATGATAGTTCATTTCATTCTAATATGTTTTCACACACCAGCTTGTAATAGTATTTTTACCATGAATTCTAATTCAGTTACAAATATCTTGTTCGGAAAATATATTAGAATGAAATGAATTATTATCAAATTCCATTAATTTAAACATTTTAAGATACTTTTTGACTTATAATATTTTATTTAAAAAGCTACCTAAAAAAATTCAAAAGTAAAAACCCTTTTAAAGATTATTTATATTCATACTTTATAATAGTATCATAAATAATAAATAGGCATTGAAATTCGATAATATTAAATAACACATAATACTAGATAACAAGGTTATAGGTAACAGTTTTCAAAAAGTGCGGTCAAACCCAACGACCAATCAGAAAGCTAAAATGATAACCGGTGCCGAGACCGACCCCAGAATGCTAATATGCATCCGGTACACTTAATATATAAAGATAGGTTTGAATTTGGTGAGTTTCATCATTTGTATACACAGTTACGTGCTGATAATAATTTATTCCATTCTTATACACGAATTACTACAATTACTTTTGACTATTTAAAAGAGGACATTGAATATGAATGTTATCATATAACAACTAACTTTAAAGTACCAATTTCTGTAAAAGAGAGACTACTAATTACTTTAAAGTAAGCATATTATTTTAACCAATAACAAATTAAAATTAATAGTTTTTATATATTAACAATAACGTATCATAATATATCATAATAAAATGTATAATGTTATAATTTAATAAAATAATAAGATTTATGTATTGTATATTAGTATATTATAATATTAACATTAAAGTGATTAAGTAAAACAACTCATTTTAACTTTTAAAATAATAAATTATAAAATATAACTAGACTAAATAATAATGATTAGAAACATTTTAATTTTAAATATTGGAATGTGTGTCGTCTGAATACTGGAAATTTGGTGAAAATAATGGCATGGAACTGTATGTTGGATGTACCGTAGAAACTGATGAAATAACATAATTTTGTTCATTAGAATTTGCTGAGCCTAAGTGGAGGTAAACTTTCACCTTTCACGTATCCAAAATATTTTGTATGCCGTTCCTAATACATAATTTCTAAATGGAGCTCAAATTTTTAAAATAGGGAAGAATTGATTTAAAAAAATTTATAGGTATCTTCATCATCTGGAGCTGCAGTTGGTTCGATTAATATAGCTAGTTTCCTTGTTTCGAGATCCATCAATTTTTGTTCGAAATTACGACTGGTGTCTTGTTTTTTTGTTCTCTTATTTTTTGTTTGTGTCGTAAATGAAGTTGATGGAGGTGATGAAATGTTGTAACTTGATGTAGACGTATGATCAATGTCATCGATTTCATCTGGTTCCACGCTCTCTTCATCTACGTCTACGTTAACATCTGAAACATTTCCATCGCTTATTCTTGGAACGGCAATGTCCATCAAAAACAGCATAGCGTTGAAATAGCCCCATTTACCTTTATATAGCGCAGCATATTCATGACTATTACCAGAACGACTAATAGGAATTTTTTTTATTTCTTTTAAAAATTTATCGCAAAGACTTCTCCATTTTTTTTAGTGTCGTCTTCTGTGGAAATTACATTTAAATATTGTATAAAATATATAAACCAATTATTGTAATTAAAATTATTCAATTAAATTTAATAATAATAATAATTAAATCTAAATATGTTTAATAGGTATTTAATAACTTTTTTTTTTATATTACAATTAGTTTCAACAGTTTTTAATATTTAATATCGAAAACTATAAATTACTATTTTATATTATTGAATTTAAGCGAATTCAAGAAATCTCATTAGTTCTATTTAGTAAAGTTAACAAAGTTGTAAAAAAATTTTAAATTAAAATAAAATAAATTCTAAGAGTACAAATTTTTTTTTAAAAATATTTAAGTAGAGTATTTTTTATTAGGCATGGTCGCGTGCCACGTACTTAGATAACAATAATATCATAATCACCCTGCATTGCATATAGGTATGCATGAGTGTGCAACGATACATATAATAAATGAACTCTTATAAATATTAAAAACCACATCTATCAAATATCATACACCACACCACACAAAGTTCAAGCAAGGTAATAAATAAATGATTATTGATTGTTAAAATAACCACATCTACATTTTCACAGAAATGTCATCTAATAAGGAAACATTATTCAAATAATCACATTTGTGAGATAGATTAAACTATACACATTATCACATTATACACACACATTTGCGTCAATCAGAAGATTAACTACTCTTATTATCGTTTTTCATACACACACATACACACACTTGCGTTTATCGGATATATAAGGGACTTGGAAACAAGGGCTAATCAAACGAGTTCTTGCTATGCGACACTGAGCACCTTTACGCTAGTGTATGTCATGGTCTGGACTTAGAATCTCAACAGCTAAATTAAATATCAGAACTTAGAATATTTTAGAAGAGTTTAAATTAAAAATCTGGACTTAGAATATTTTCATTACAGTTTAATATTCAGTTTAATATTAAGACTTAGAAATTTTAACAGCCAAATTAATTAATTGTACTTAGAATAATTTTTAACAGTTTAATAAATCACTTTACCACAATTGGCATTAATTATTTACAACATTATACCTACGTTCAAGCCTTGAACAGACAGAGTAAGTCACTAAAGTTCGATCAATCGGTTGGTACGCAACAGTACCTATTTTTTATAATCTAAATATTTTTTAAAAAGTTTATTATTTTTGATGTTAAAGAGCTTTAGAAAAATTTTAAATTTTAAAAAATCATAAAAATGAACCACTCGACTTTTAAATTTTCTAAAAACCAAATTAGCAAATTGAATATTTTGAATTTTTGAATTTTTAAAATTAAAAATAAAAATAAAAAAGTTACATATATTATACCTATATTATTATAATGCAATAGTTAATAAATTATAATATGTAAAAAAAATAAATATTGATTACAATAAAGTCTGGGATATGTAAATGTAATTATAATAATAAAATATAAATAAATAAAAAAATGTATGTTGTATAGGTACATTTAATATTGTTTTTTTTTTTTTTTAACACAGATATCTTGCTACTAGTTTAGTTTTTATGCAAATTGCTTTAATATACAGAATTTTAAAAACAGCAGTTTCTTCAATTGTTATTGAAGTTTGTAAAGCAATTTGGAAGATTATAAAAGAAATACATATGTCCACACCAACTATTGTTGATTTTGAAAATATTGCACAAGTGTTCTATGAAAATTTAAATTTTTCAATTTGTATTGGTAGTATTGATGGTAAACATACTCGGATAAAATGTCCAAAAAACTCCGGTACTATGTTTTTCAATTATAAACAGTTTTTTCTATTGTTTTAATGGCTATGGCAGACGCAAGTTATAAGTTTATCATAATTGATGACGGATCTTATGGAAAAGATAGCGATGGAAGTATACTATCAAATTCGAATATTTTAAAACGTCTTGAAAATAAAACTTTGAAACTACCTTATCGTAAAAAACTACCAAATTCTAATGTAACTGATCCATATAATTTCATTACTGA